GATAGATAGATAGATAGATAGATAGATAGATAGATAGATAGATAGATAGATAGATAGATAGATGGATGATGGGGGAGAGAAAGATATGATGGATGGATGGATGAAAGGAGGAAGGGCTGAGAAGGAAGGAAGGAAATTATGCAATTAAGGTACCCATAAAGATTTGTATTCATATAGCTAGTGGTAATACCAGTACCAGTTAGGTCCTTAATTCTACTCCTCTGTGTAATTTCTTCACAGAAGACCAAGAGTTTATGTATTTTACCCTCGCCAATGATTCTAACATGTTCTATTAAAAGAGCATCTCTAATGCTACTCATTGCCTTGTTAGTTTGAAATAGCAAATAGTTTCTTATTTTCTTAAGTTATTTGACCATTCATATTCTCTGCTAAATCTGGGATTCAAGGGGAAACAGTGTCATATCAGCTAAAGGAAGACCTGAAGGGATGGGTTAGTGTTGAACGTACAACCGTGTAGTTGTATCTATACATACCGATGATTGCTAAATGACACATTTCTTAACTTATGTAGATTTTTTAGCAATGCAGATTATGAACGCAACTTGAGAAGCAAAAAAAGTTTGTGAAGGGCCAGTAATTAAGTCCAGATTTACCCAGACTCAGTTTCGTTGCTTCATTTTGTCATTTTGAATGCAATATTTACCTGTGTGTCTGGTTTCCAAATCTTACTTTACTTTGATTGACTTCATCTTTAAACTCTTTTTTTTATATTCACAAAAAATACTTGTGAAGGATTCCTAATTTTTATCACACTTTTTGGACTTAAGATTTATTTTTATCAGCACTCTAGGTATCATTTTAAGCCTTTCTCTTTTTTATTTTTTCCATTGAAAATAAGAGATAAAAATCTTTAAAATTCATTAATAAATATCCCTGCAAAGTCTTTTCTTGATCTGTTATAAATATATTACAGGGAGTCCTAGTTACCGTTACAACAGCACTTTAAAAAAAGTGACTTATGGCCATTTTTCACACTTATGACTGTTGCAGCCTTCCCATAGTCACCTGATTTACAATCAATGTCTCACTTAGCAACAGAAATTGTAGGCTCAATGGTGGTTGTAAGTTGAGACTACCTGTATTGGATGGGGTGGTGGAATTGGGACTACTGTGCTCATTCCTCTTGAATTCTTGCTAGAAAAGGTGAAGGATATTAACCCAATGAACAAATAAAATTAATAATTCAAGCATTTAAGGAATCACAAATAGGGTTGTGAATCTAAATATATAAAAGCAAAATACCCCTCACGCATCATCACAAAATCTCCAGAACCGTAAAGCCTACAAACTTGAAATTTGGGCACGTATGTTCCTCTTGGCTTCTAGAAAGAAAGAAAGAAAGGATTTTTCGAATGACCATCAGAACATTTAGAGTATTTCCTATATTATTACTATTAACATGCTCTGATGCTAAGGAATTCTACTCCCCCTCCCCACCTGGAAAGAAATCTCTTCCAAATGCAAAACACAAGCAGAGGAGAGGAGTTTCAGTTTCAGTGTCACAGCACCAAGCAGCTTTAGTACAGAAAAGTTGAGCTAAGCCCCGACCAGGCTCCTTGCTGTCTCCTTGCTCACACAGCAAATATTCTTTCAGTTTCCAAACAGCCCTCAACTCTCACACACTGACAGGATGCTAGCCAGATGAATACTGATGGATGCTGGTAGCCAGAGGCAGAATTTTTTCCCTCCTTATTTTCCTCCCCAAAACCAAACCCGACCACATAGTTTTGTAGCAGGTATTGAACTAGTAAACAATATTCAGAATAGACGTCTTTCTTCCTGGAAATACGTGACCGTTGACGATCGATTCTAAAGATAAAAATTTTTTGGACCTTTTGGTTATGATGATGATTAAATTCTGCAGTTTCATTGTTTAAAATTATTATTATGTATTATTTTATTGGTTTTCTATTAAATGTATTTCTTAGTGCTTAATAAACAGCATGTTGTCTGGGTAGTTCATTTACTTAACAATATGAATTATTCTTAAATCTCCATCCTTTTTTTCCAGCCGTTGCTAAAATAAATTCCATGTTGGGTAGCATCCTGCACGCTCTGTTCCGTTTCATTTTCATTGTCAAGTCTTATCCATTTCTGCACCGTCTAGTATCTCCTTCACTATTTCTTCATCTCCCGGTGTATCTTCCATTTTTTCCCCAATATTGTGCGGAAATAATATTCGCCGCATGTCTTAAATTCCACGGCTGCTTCTTCCAGAGGCTTCACCAATGTCTCACTTAGCAACCAAAACGTTGGGCTCCATTGGGGCCATTAAGTTGAGGACTGCCTGGACTGCCTACCACGAAGGGTGCCACCTGCCAATCAGGGTTGCTAGTGATTGACAGCTTTCATTGTCTCCCAAACGTTATCCCAGTTTGTTTGTTCATTTGGCAACTTTGGCTGTCTCTCCTGCGAGCGCTTCCCCTTCCTCGCCGGCAGGGGGCAAGTGTGAGCCCGTTCAGGCAACCCGCGGCTCTTTCCCGTTGTATACTTCCGGGGAAGGGAGGAAAATGGCGCAGGAACCGGAAGTTCCGCCGCAGCCGTTGAGAGCCGCTGGTGCTAGAGCGGTCATGCGCTCGGTGAGCTACGTCCGCCGGGTGGCTCTCGACTTCGGCGGAAGCCTCTTCCCGCGCGCCGTCTCCCTGGGCGACGCCGACAACGACGCGGTGGGTCCCCGGGGGAAGGGGAGCAGAAGGGGGCAAGTAGAGGCTTTGGCCGGTCTCTCTATCCTCTGTCTCTCTATCGTCTGTCTCTGGATATCTATTTTTGTAGATCATCCACCGCATCAATATTTCCATCTACCCTCTGCCTTTATATATTACCTATCAGTGTCATCTATATATCAGCTATCAATATCATCTATCTCTCAGTATCTAGATCTCTAGAATCATTATATATGTATGTACACATGTATGTATGTATGTATGTATATACACACACTAATATCTATTATCTATCATCTTTATATATCTAGGTCTGTACTCTTTCTATATATATACCAACTATCAATATCTGTTTCTATATCTTTATATAAATATTATCTAGATCTCTAGAATCTTTATATATCAACTAATCTTATGTCATCTTTTTATATCAATATCTACATCTCTAATCTTTATATATATATATATAAACTATCAATATCATTATTTCTATATCTTTATATATTGGTATCTATATTATATATAATATATTATATGACATATAAATATAGATATTAATATCTATCATCTTTATCAATATCTAGATCTCTATATATCAACTATTAATGTCTATTTCTATATCTTTATATAAATATCAGATCTCTAGAATCTTTATATATCAACTAATATCTATTATCTATCTTTACATATCAATATCTAGATCTCTAGAATCTTTCTACACTGCTCAAAAAAATAAAGGGAACACAAAAATAAGACATCCTAGATCTGAATGAATGAAATATTTTTTATTAAATACTTTGTTCATTACATAGTTGAATGTGCTGACCACAAACTCACACAAAAATTATCACTGGAAATCAAATTTAGCAACCCATGGAGGACTGGATTTGGAGTTACACTCAAAATTAAAGTGGAAAAAAACACTACAGGCTGATCCAACTTTGATATAATGTCTTTAAAACAAGTCAAAATGAGGCTCAGTAGTGTGTGTGGCCTTCATGTGCCTGTATGACCTCCCTACAACGCCTGGGCATGCTCCTGATGAGGTGGCGGATGGTCTCCTGAGGGATCTCCTCCCACACCTGGACTAAAGCATCCCCCAACTCCTGGACAGTGTGGTGCAACGTGGTGTTGGTGGATGGAGTGAGAAATGATGTCCCAGATGTGCTCAATTGGATTCAGGTCTGGGGAACGGGCGGGCCAGTCCATAGCATCAATGCCTTCATCTTGCAGGAACTGCTGACACACTCCAGCCACATGAGGTCTAGCATTGTCATGCATTAGGAGGAACCCAGGGCCAACCGCACCAGCATATGGTCTCACAAGGGGTCTGAGGATCTCATCTTGGTACCTAATGGCAGTCAGGCTACCTCTGGCGAGCACATGGAGGGCTGTGCAGCCCCCTAAAGAAATGCCACCCCACACCATTACTGACACACTGCCAAACCCGTCATGCTGGAGGATGTTGCAAGCAGCAGAACATTCTCCACGGCATCTCCAGACCCTGTCACGTCTGTCACATGTGCTCAGTGTGAACCTGCTTTCATCTGTGAAGAGCACAGGGTGCCAGAGGCGAATTTGCCAATCTTGGTGTTCTCTGGCAAATGCCAAACGTCCTGCACGGTGTTGGGCTGCAAGCACAACCCCCACCTGTGGATGTCGGGCCCTCATACCACCCTCATAGAGTCTGTTTCTGACCATTTGAGCAGCCACATGCACATTTGTGGCCCACTGGAGGTCATTTTGCAGGGCTCTGGCAGTGCTCTTCCTGTCCCTCCTTGCACAAAGGCGGAGATAGCGGTCGTGATGCTGGGTTGTTGGCCTCCTATGGCCTCCTCCACGTCTCCTGATGTACTGGACTGTCTCCTGGTAGCACCTCCATGCTCTGGACACTATGCTGACAGACACAGCCAATCTTGCCACAGCTCACATTGATGTGCCATCCTGGATAAGCTGCACTACCTGAGCCACTTGTGTGGGTTGTAGACTCCGTCTCATACTACCACTAGAGTGAAAGCACCACCAGCATTCAAAAGTGACCAAACCATCAGCCAGAAAGCATAGGAACTGAGAAGTGGTCTGTGGTCACCACCTGCAGAACCACTCCTTTATCGGGGGATGTCTTGCTAACTGCCTATGCTTTCCACCTCTTGTCTATTCCATTTGCACAACAGCACGCGAAATTGATTGTCAATCAGTGTTGCTACCTAAGTGGACAGTTTGATTTCACAGAAGTGTGATTGATTTGGGACTTGCATTGTGTTGTTTAAGTGTTCCCTTTATTTATTTTTTGAGCAGTGTATATATCAACTATCAATATCATGTCTTTACATACATATGTAAATGTATGTATGTATGTATGTATCTTTAGATCTTTCTACATCAACTATCAATATCTATTTTTCTCTCTATCCTATCTTTGTGTATGTATTACTATCTCTAGAATCTTTCAATATTTATGTATAAACTATATCATCTATTTCTGTTATCTGTTGATATCATCTAGCATCTATTTCTATCTAGCATCTATATCACATAGAGGAATTGCCATCCCACTCTCAGTGGGATTCTGGGCATTGTATGAATAAGCACCCCTAAGTCAGAAAAATAAATGCCTTTTCTTGTTTACAGAGGTTTTAATGGGGCTATCCCAGCATCAAATTGATCAAACTTAAAATTTGATTGGTATAAATTCGCTTTTCAAGTTTACAATAGAGATCCTGACTCTTTATTATCAATTGCACAGTCAACCAGAAGTTTAAACTGTGTTTCGCATTTTATCCACCTACTGAGTCCTCCCCAATGTGCTATTGGAGGATGTAAGCTCTTCGCAGTAAAGCTGCCTTTTGCAATTGACGGATGGTGAATTTGTCAATGTTAATAGTGTACCATTTAAATGCACATAATCATAATCTTTCATTTGTGTATATATAATAATTATAATATGTTCCATTATATTTCAGTATACATAATACTATTTTCTACTTTCTACTTCTTTTTCTAACACTTCATACAATAACCATGTTAAAAATATTATATATCTATCCATCATCTCTTGTCCTTTTTGGAATTTCAACTCTTATTAAGCGTTTGGTGAATCTTTCATGCTTCTCTGGTATCATGTAACTCCTTTTTATCATGTTTAATTTAATCTATTTCATGTCAGATCAGCTGCTGTTAAAGGCATTGTAGCTAATTCAATTTCGCATAATTGGAGATTTGTTAATTAAGAAAAAATGAAGGGGGGAGCTGAAGAATTTAAAAACAATTGAATTAAAATTTGGATTTAAAATGTAAAAAAATAAAATTAAAAAAGGACATTTTATTAATGTTTTCTCTCTCTCTCCCTCCCTCCCTCCCTCTCTCTCCAGCTGAACGAACTAGTGGTAGGAGACACCAATGGAAAACTGTTTGTATACAAGAATGATGAAAGTCAACCTTGGACTGTGCGCTCCTGTCAAGGAATGGTGAGTAGAAGCGAAATCTAAAGATGTGACAGGGAAGGGAAGGGGAAAAAGGCATTTTTCAGAAGATAATGCCACTTCCTAACCATGAAGAAGAAACAGAAATAGCAGTGCAGGGGGGGGGTGGGGGGGAAAGGACACCAGAGGGAGCTAATTTTTCAGCACGGCTCTGTCTGTGGCATCGTGATGAAAAGGATGCTGGCTAGCATGGTTGGGAATCGGGGTGGCTTTGATCTGAATCAAGTCGGTTTAGATCCCTAGTAAAAAGGCTTGGTTGAAATTGACTCGATTTGAATCATAATTTTTAAAGAGCAACTGTCATCTCTGTCCCTCAGCGGCTCCTCCTATGACCTGCTGTTGACTCACCGACAGTCCCATTCACATTAATGGGATAGCTGGGGATGCAGCGGGTGAGGGACGTGGCGGGCAGCAGGTTGAGTGGATGCCCGCTAACAGGCGCTGCCATGATGGATCTGAAATGACCGGTGCTCTTTAATAATATACTAGCTGGATACCCGTGTTTCTGTAGGAAACTATGTGGTCAGGCTTAGTTTTGGGGGAGGAAAATAAGAAAAAAAATGTGCATCTGCCTACCAGCGTCCATCAGTATTCATCTGGCTAGCGGTCCTGTCAGTGTGAGAGTTGGGGGCTGTTTGGAAACTGAAACAGTATTTGCTGTGTGAGCAAGAAGGAGGCAGCAAGGAGCCTGGGCATGGCTTAGCTCAACTGTTCTATACTAAAGCTGCTTGGTGCTGTGAAACTAAGACTGAAACTGAAACTCCTCTGCTTGTGTTTTGCATCTGGAACAGACTTCTTTTCAGGTGTAGAGGGGGAGTAGAACACCTTAGCAGCAGAGCCTAATAATAATAATAATAATAACAACAATAATAATAATATACAAAATACTAATGCTCTGACAGTCATTTCAAGAAACCGTTTCTTAGTGAGCACCTAGAAGCCGAGAGGAACATAGGTGCCAAATTTCAATTTGTAGGCTTTACGGTTCTGGAGATTTTGTGATGATGCGTGAGTGGTCTTTCGCTTTTAGATAGATTTGTAAGCTGCTTAGAAGGTTTTGCTTTCATTTTTACTGCTTGCCCTCCCTCCTCACACTTAGAGCCTTGTTGTAATGACAAGCCAGTCGAGTTGTTTGATCATGAACAACTGAATCATGATGATCTTTATTGGTGTATAGTCTTGTATTTATATACATTTTTAGTTATCCTCCATCATTGGTTAACTTTGGTTACTGCTTAACTTTCGTTACTGTTCAGCACAGTAATCCATACAATTAATTATCTCTAGTTAAAGTCTAACATATGTCTACTTCCCCTCTCTAATCCTCCTTTATCCATAGATTAGTGACTTTGTTTGCTTGAGTTGTATTTGCTTGGAAACATTCTTTATCTGAGGTTTGCCATCCGAGATTGGAACATTCCTACAATTACAACTCTACAGAGCCTGGTGGTACAAATGCATTTCACTCCAATCAAACAGTTTTTAGTGTACATAGATTTGCAAAACAATGGGATAAAGGAATGTTCCTGAACTTGGTTTCATGATTTATCTCACGGTTATTGTAAAATTGTGTGAATGCATCATCAATGCAGTACATGTTATCTCAGCTTGCAGAACTTGGATTCATGGAATTGAGTTGACCAAAAATGTAAATATTGCAGAATATACAGCCTCGGGCTACATAACTAAGCTCCATTTCATGTTGAATAAACTAAAATTATTAATGTATCTTAAATAGAAAAGTATAGATAGATTTTTAACTCCAAAAGCATTTTATTAAAATAAATTTGATAAAAATAAAAAAATTCTGATTTAAATAAAAGAAATTCAAATTAAATATTTAAAAATCCATTTTTTTTTAAACCATCGATTTTTATCCACCCTGTTGGGAATTGGAATTGCCAAACTGAAGAGGACTAATGTTTACAAACTGGAGAACAATCCTGCTGTAAAGATTTTGGGCTTATTTTGAGGCCTATCCTTCTAGGCTCACCTGTATGGCTTTTACCAGCAATACTCCTGGTTTCTGTGTGTGTGTGTGCGTGTGCGCACACACACACACACACACACACAGTATTGATTCGCGTAACTTCTTCTTTATCCTTGCTTTCCTGTTGCTCTTTATTTTTTTGGAAGGGGGAGCATGCCTGCAAATCAAACTAATGCTTTCCTTTTTCAGCTCACCTGCGTTGGCGTTGGAGACGTCTGCAATAAGAAGAAGGTATCTGCTTTTAAAATAAAAAAAAACATCCTCCTAATTCTTTGTGTGTATACATATGTCTTTGTGCTATGTAGCAGAGTATCGAACACTTCCAACTTCTCTTTCCAGCTTAGGGAGAGGAACAAGGTAATAATATGCTAAGACATCTTTTGATTCCATTGTTAAATTATTGGCTTCCAATTTTAATCATGGTTGCATCTAGCTGAGGTTGCATTTGGGACACCCAAGAAATTGTCATGCTGCACTAGAAAACTTAAAACTTTGCTTGCTCTAGAGGAAGAAAACAAGGGAAGCTCATTTTGACTGATGGCTTCTTTGGAAACAGAGCAGATATTCTTCAGAGGTGTTTCTGATCTTAGGTTAGGAATAGGCCATACAGAAGCTTAAGCAGAATGGCATAAATTCCTTTTTTATAATTATTATTTTATAATATAAAATACAAAAGAAAACAATAGGAAAATAAGGGAGGGAGAGGGAAAAGAAAAATGTAGGGAAAGTTGGAAAAAGAAAGAAAAGGCGTTGAGTTCCAACTTCCTTTAATGCCGTAGAATAAGATAATAGCATTAAACCTTCAATGTTTTACTTTTACATAATAGTATAAACTAGCCATTTCTAGAACAACAAACCTGTCTCATCATTAAAACCCAAAATCCAAGTTGGGTTTTTTTTTTTCACCTCGAGCACAAAGTCCAGAATATTTGTTTCCAAGTAGAAACAAAGATAATAGTGTTTTTTTTCTTTCATCAAAGCAGTCAATTTAGCCCTCTCTGCTAACTCCCATCTGTTTTTGCAGCCCTTCGTCCGCGTGGGAATCAAAGCCTCCTTCTATTTTGGGGCATAAAATAATCTTGCTGCCGTCAACATATGTAACATCAAAGTTCCAAATCTTTTTTTTTTCCCCAAATCTTTTTCCATTAAACCCAAAAAGAAAATTTCCGGATTTATTTTTATATTTACTTTTGAGAATCTTCGGTATTAAAGATGTGTATCTGCTCCAATATTTCTTGGCTTTTTCTCACCTGTATAATTTCCATCAGGTTGATTGTGGATCGTGTTTTAAAAACTTGGGAGGGATCCCAAGCAACTAAGTTATAAATGGATGTTTTGTGATCCATCCGAGAGCCTCCTCCAGACTTTTGGGATATTCCTGTTTCAAGGGTTTCTTTTGGGTTTCAAAACTACCATAAGCATTCTTCGTGGCTCAGCCACCTAAGCCAATGAAATCATAACTGCCATCACAAGAACCTTTATGATGGCACCAATTATGGCTACTGGGTGGATTTATTACTGCAGAATCAGGATAATATGAAAAACAAATGGAGTCTAGAAGTGTTTTTTTGCAACATAAGGCTGATGCAATGAAGATGAATCACCATTGGTACTGCCTCTTTAAGACTGAGGATCTGTTCTACCCCTGGTGTTATATAAGGCAGCAATTAGAGGGTGTTTCCTCTCTCCTTGTGTCCAGTATCCATTGCAGAGTTCTCTGTGTAGAGTTAGAAAGGCTGACTGCTTGTCAGGTATTTTGCCTACCACATATTTCTGTATGTCTTGTATATAAACCACTGTTAAAAGTCTCTTGTGTGCTGTGTTTTGCTCCGGGTGGTCTCGTAATAGTAGTCACGCTGCAAACGTTCTGACAGCTTTGTGAACTAAAAGCTCCACTTATTCGCCCACTTACTTAATTCAGGCTTTCCTTTGCCAGAATTTGGTTGTCGCGGTGAGTGCCGAAGGTTGGTTTCATCTCTTTGACCTCACGCCTCCCTCAAAGCACGGGGATGCGCTGGGTCACCACGAGCTCCTCAACCCAGATGATCCAAAGCTGGCATTTAAGCAGCACATACCAGCCAACACCAAAGTTATGCTGATTGATGATATCGGTGAGTGGGGGGTCCCTTTGAAACAAGCAGCTTTTCAAAGCGTAAGGATCGAGCATAGGTATGTGGGAAAAGCAACGCAGGTTCGTAGAATAGAATAGAACAGAACAGACTTCTTGATTGGCTAAGTGTGATTGGACACACAAGGAATTTGTCTTGGTGCAAATGCTTTCAGTGAACATAAAAGAAAAGATACATTCATCAATTGTCAAGAATCATCAGGTACAACATTTAATAATAGTCATAGAGTACAAGCAATCAAATCATACTAGGAAACAGTCAATATAAATCATTAGGATACAAGCGACAAAGTGTCAGTCACAAGTGGGAGGCGATGGGCAATAAGGAGTGATGAGAAGATTAATAGTAGTCACAAGGATAAGTAGAAATGGAATAAAATCTTTTCTTCTCCTTTTTCTTCTTTCTTCTCTTCCTCTTCTCCCACCTACTCCCTTTTCTTCTTTCTTTTCTTCCTCTTCTTTTTATTGTCTTTCCCTCCCTTCTTCTCTTTCCTCTTTGAAAAAATGAAACTAAAATCTTAACCAGTGGAACAAAATCTACAAATTATAGTTTAGCAACATATCTTTTAATTGACTTTTAAAGAAATTAAAGCACAGTTTAATTGCCTTGAGAACCAATTTGAATCATTGGAATAGAATTAAGCATATCAGCTTCAGAAATCATTTCCTTTTATTGCAAAAAAAGATATTTATTTTTCGTTCTGTCTTCTATTAAGATTTTGGAAATAAGGAAATGTCCTAGGCCATTGATTTAAAAAAGAATTGATTATGGGAGGGCCCTTTGTATGATATTTTGGAACAAACGAGAGGGATTCCTTTTGTTTCTCCTTGATTTTCTACAATTGGTTCTTCCACGACACAAGTGCGTGAGTCTGCTTTGCGTTCTCCGCAGATGGAGATGGAAGAAATGAACTGGTGATAGGCTACACTGACCGCGTGGTGCGAGCCTTTCGCTGGGAGGACTCGCCCGAGGGTTCCGATAGTCTCTCTGGACAACTGGTGCTGCTGAAAAAATGGCTGCTGGAAGGACAGGTAGGAACATGAGGATAGAATGACAGCATAGAAGTTTCGCCAATAGTGGCGTGGTGGCCTAGAGGTGGAGCTCTCGCCTCACAATCAGGAGGCTGTGAGTTCGATCCCAGGAAGAGGCAGATATTCCTCTCTGGGCACAATATAGTAAATATCTGCTGGAAAAAAAAAAACTCTGCATTGGCGTCAGGAAGGGCATCTGGCCAGGAAATAACTCAGCACTGTTCAGTTACCCATCCAATCAGTAAACATTTATCTGCATTCAGTTGCCCAGACTCCATCCTGCAAGGGATTATGGGGTCATTAGAAGATGATGATGATGATGATTCTCTAGGTATGTGAGTTCAATCCTAGGTAGATATTTCTCTCTCTGGGCACAATATAGTAAATATCTGCTGAACAAAAACACCGCATCGGGGATAGGAAGGGCGCCCGGCCAGGAAACACTCTGCTAGCTCCATTCAGTTGCCCAGACTCCACCCCACAAGGGATTATGGGGTCATTAAAAAGAGGATGATGATAGTTTCATAAATCAATAAATCCAGAGAATGGAACAGAGAGTTGAAAAAAATTCCTAACCTTTAGACAGAGAGGAAGACACGCAGGAGATATAAATGATTTGATTCAGAATAGAGCTGGAAAGGAAGTCTTTCTAGTCCAGCTTCCTCCCTTTACCATTCCTGATAGATGGCAGTCCAGTCTCTTCTTGAAAGCCTCCAGGGATGAAGCTCCCACAATTTCCAAAGGGTTGATTGTTCTCACTGTCAGAAAATGTATCCTTATTTCCAAGTTGAATCTCTTGTTTGATTAGTTTCCAACCATTGTTTCTTATCCTGCCCTCTGATGCTATGGAAAATAATTTGACACCCTCTTCTTTGTGGCAGCCGATATCAAAGACACAGAACCATCAAGAAAAAGAAAGAAAAATTAACCCCTGCCACAATGAGGGTTAAGGAGAAGAAAGGGAAAAACAGGGAGGGAAGGAAGGAAGGAAGGAGATGGGAATGGGAAAGAAGAAAAAGATAAGGAGGAGGAAAAATAAAATGAATGAGGAAAAAGACTGGATGAGAAAGAAGGAAAGACTGGAAGGAGGAAAAATAAAAGAAAAATGGAAGGAAAATGGAGGAAGGAAGGAAAAATAGGGAAAATGGAAGGGAAAATAGAAGGAAGGAAGGAGATGGGAATGAGAGAAGAAAATGGAAGGAAAAATAGAAGGGATGAAGGAAAAGATAGGAAGAGAAAGAAAGAAAAGGAAAACTAAAGGAAGGAGAAATGGAAGCAAAATAGATAGGGGAAGGAAAAGTTAGGGAGAGAGGAAGGAAGGGAAGGAGGAAAAGATAGAGAGGAGGAAAAATGGAAGGCAGGAAGGACTCAAGTGCAGGGCATGGGTCAATAGTGGTGATAGCTGTAATGGACGTTCTCCGAGGTGACCATGAGCCTTTGATTCTCTTCCTTGGTGAGGACAGGTGGATAGCCTCTCTGTGAACTCGGGGGCCGACGGCTCTCCTCAGATGATGGTGTCCCAGCCAGGCTGCGGATATGCGGTCTTGCTCTGCAACTGGAAGCAAGAGCAGCAGCCTCCCATAGAGACCGGGAACGGTTCTGCGTCTAGCAGGTGAGGTAGCCCAGAATCCCCGAGGGACAATGCCTAGTGAGGCCCAGCCTGTTAGCAACCTCTTGTGGTGGTTGGGCAGCCCAAAGGTTCACTTTGCTCTTCCCGGGTGTACTCCTGTGTCGCCGTTTCCCGCGGCGGGCATTTTATTCTCACGCTCCTCCAAATTGAGACTTGTGGCAGCGCTCTCGGTGCACCCTCCACTGAAGCAAGCCAGGACGATGGGTGGCTTCTTTTAAAGGGGAGGCCAACCGCCCGAGCGAGAATGCCTACCCTCCAAACTTTCAGCTTTGGGTCTTAAAAAAAAGCCATTCTCTGTTGTGGCCTGTCGGCCGCTGGCCCCTCCAGAAGTCAAGTCAGATGAAGAGGAGGTGTGCCAGTCAGGATGAGCATCAAGGCAACCTGAGAGCTCCGAGGACGAAGAGGGAATGGAGCTGTCAGAGAGAGAGAGAGAGAGAGAGAGAGAGAGAGGCGGAGCCTGGGTCATCCATCAGCCCTCAGATGGAGACTCAGCAGCCCCCAGATTTGGAGGTGGCTGATGAGGAAGAAGAGGAACAGCTGGGTCCAGTGCCTGACGCATGGATGTGCAGAAGGGAGAGGAGAGCAGTGGAAATCTATAGGCCGGTCCTCAGGACGGAAGAGCCACTGCTGCTAGCGAGGCCCCACCCTCGTTCTGGGGATAAATGGCAGGGGGTGGAGACGAATAGATGTGGTAGACTTCTAATAAAGGAATCCTTGATTTAACTACAGAGGGTTTGTCGTATTCGGGAGCCGGGTCAGAACATTCTCTTTCTACCAAACGACAAGATAATCCTGTTGTCCCGTTTGACCGTCTGCATTTCTTTACTACTCTTTAGGGAAGGCCCCATCCGGGATGTGGTTCATCATCAGACATCAGGTAGAATTCACAACAAGAATGTTTCCACTCATCTGATTGGAACCATTGGCAGAGGTAAGTGATAGATGTTCGAGTCTTTGGGGAATTTTTTTTTTTTTTTAAGAAAATATACTGGATTTCCAGCAAGATGAAACGCAAAAGCTTAATCTCTCCATGGCTTAGACTAGAGTTGGCCCCCACACTTGGGAGACTTTAAGACCTGTGGACCTCAACTCCCAGGATTCTCCAGCCAGCTGTGACCAAATGACCAGCCCTTAGAAAGACCCCTCAATAATTTCAGCTACTCCAGAACGCAGTAGCACAAGCAGGGATGCACTTGCCGTGCTGACAAAAAGAGGTTGCAAATTGTGACCATGGACCATGGGAGGCTGTGACCAATTATAAATGAGACCCAGCTGACGAGCCATTGAGCAGTGATCGTGTGACTATGCTGCTGGTGGGACAGTCCTAAGTGCTTGCACTTATTTCCTGAGGCCATTGTAATTTTGCTGTGGTTAAATGAACAGTTGTAAATTGAGGACTATGTGTTCTAAAAATTGGAATGGAATATCAGAATATAGAATAGAATAGAATAATATCAAAAAATAGAATAGAATAAAGGAAAATGGAATGGAATAGAATAAGGAATAGAATAGAATATGGAATGCAGTGGAATGGAATGGAATGGAATGGAATGGAATGGAATGGAATGGAATAGAATAGAATAGAATAGAATAGAATAGAATAGAATAGAATAGA